GTCAACATGTGTTACCCCAATTTTACACATGAAGATATTAAGGTTCCAAGAGGCTAAGTGACTTTCATCTTAAGTGGCAGAGCCAGCAGACCTGGGTTCAAATCCTGGCTCTGCTAGGAGTTAGAATTGAGATGTGTGTCAAGTTCTTAGATCACTCCTAGCATATAGTACGTGCTAAATAAATGTTAGTGATTTCTGATTGTTAGTGATTAATCGTTTTGGTTAATATCAGAATAAACCCCCTAACATCAGTCATTTCGTTGGCCATTTTGGATGGGGGTGAGGACATCAGTGTGGGAGATGAGATCAGGTGAGGAAGCCAAGAAGAGCATCCAGTACCAGGCTAAAGTGTTTGGACCCAGTTCTGGAGACACAGGTAGTCTCAAGAGGTTTCCGAGCAAAGGCCTCTGAAATAAACCTCATCTGCCCTCTCAGGAGAGCTGCCAAAGAGATGTGACAGGGCATGTGACCTTCCATGAGGAGGAAGCGAACTAAGGTTATCTGGATCAGATTAAGCCTCGATTGCAAAAGCCTGGAGTAAAAGGAAATGTTTGCCTTTCAAAAAAGAATCTCCATCCTACAAGAGAAATGGCTTTAGAGATGTTAATGCATCTTCAAGTAACTGTTTTAATATTATATAATAATTATATAATATAATATATAATGAGGTGATCTCATTATCACCGATAGAAATTGCAAGTCTCCCTTCCAAAAATAAAGCAAAAAACTATTACTTCAAGGCCTTAGTCTTATAAATGTATCACAAGTTAATTGAACTAAAAAATGGTGTTGGGACATCTCAGCTGCTTTGAGGAGCTCATGGAGGAGACAGCTCATGGAGACAAAAATAGGAAATGAAACTAAACCAAAAAAAACAGTTGTGGTCAAGTCAACTCCGACTCAGGGCTACCTCAAGTGTCAGACCCCCAAATGCACTAAAGGGTTTTCAATGGCTGATCTCTCAGTAGATAGCCAGGCCTTTCTTCTGAAGCACCTGTGTGTACCTGAATCTCTAACCTTTTTGGCTAGCATCTGAGCCTGTTAACCGTTTGCACCACCCAGGAGCTCCAATAAATCAGCTACCATTTATTCAGCACTCACTACACGGCAAGCACTCTTCCACATGCTTCACCTACACTGATTCATTTGATCCAAGCATCAGCCTTAAGAGGTTGATAATTGAGAGGCTATGGAGGACAGCCGAGGTCACAAGGTAGTCAGGGGAAGCAGTAAGTATGAGAACAGAGTCTGACTCCAGAGAGGAACCACAAACATAGCACAGACCTGGCACAGAGTAAACACTCCAGAGCAGTTCCTAGAAAACAGGAAATAAGCTAGGATGTGAAACCCTTTCTGCCTGGGGCTGCTCCACCTTTCCATGCCCCCCGGCCCCAAACACACACAGAGCCATGGAACTGCCCTGAGACCAGTCCCTGAACCCCCAGACAATACCCCTTCTACAAGGCCTCTAGGGTCCCAGATGCCAAAGCCACCCCTGTGCACTCTCCCTAACAAGGAGTTATGGAAACCAGTATGATGTTGGAGCGGTGAGGAGCACAACTTTCACACCAGGTCCTGCTGATGCGCAACATCTGGAGGGTATTACTGTCATTCCTTTCTAGGACTTTATTACCCATACATTAATATTGGGTGTTACTATCATTACCAGCACCTGCTGATCATTGCCAACACAATACTAATGACACACGTTTTTACAATAGACATCTAACGTGTGCTTACTGTGTGCCAAGCACCCAAGCAAAACATTTTACCCAGATTATGCCCTTGACCTCTCACAGCAGCCCTATGAAGTAGGCACTATTTTATTATTCCCTACTGTTTTATTAACTTGGAGATGTTGTCACTTGCCCAAAAATGACAGGGCAGCTATATGCGAGCCCCGAGGTACAAACCCAGGCAACCGGAAAGCAGCTTCAGCAGAGGCCAACATCTGATTTCAACCTCAGCCCCTTCGCACAGATCGTTGCATTCAGCCCTTGCTACTGAGCCTGGGATCACTCAGCTCTGAGCACAGTCCTCATCTTGAGGAAATGGGTCTATCCATAAAGGACAGTGCCCACAGCCCCTCCAAGCTCTCCCATCAACCAGCATTACAAGTGGGCAAGGAAACTCAAAGCCCCCTCACCTGGAGAGCTGGTCCATCTTTCCTCTTGGGGTTGAGACCGGGACTGTTTGTTTTGCTTCATTCTGTCCTGGCATCTAGGTACAGCACTGTACACAAGATGGCTTAATTGGGCAGGTAAAGGCCCTGGGGTATAAATGCCTCAGAGGGAGAAGTGTAGCGCCTACTTTGCTAATTGCAAAGTTCTCACCATGGCAACTCACACCTGTGCTGTTCTAGCCCAGCCACCCCTTTCTAATAATTGTTTACCATTTTTCCACACTAGTTGCTTCTTCCCTCTGGGTCAGACTCTTTAGGAACTTGACCTTATTAAGGCACACAACTATTAAGATGGGCTTTTTCATAACACACCTTATCAATCTTATACATGAAGAAACCAAGGCTCAGAGAAATGCCAAGTTCAACTGCTGTTCAGTGGGCACACATGGAAGTCTTTATCGGCTACTTTTCCCTGACTAAAGGCTGGAGGTAGAGACTAGGATTACAGTATTATGGGCTCTGAGTGGCGTGTGGCAAACAATAAAATGGTACTGATAGAAGGGTGCTAAATTAGTGTTCAAAAGATGGTGGGGCTTTAATCTGGGGCGTTGATCTACCCTGAGAGAACCATATCCCTCACATAGGGCTGAGGACACAGGCAGCTATGTTAGAATCATGGGACCATTCCTAACCGGTCCTCTCACTGAATTTGGTTGACATGCAACAGGACAACTTGGAAGCAATGAAACTAGGTCCAGAAGAATTTAACAGAAGCAGGAAGAACTATGAGAATCAGCCCTGGGCTTCTTTACTTGATCAGCTACCCAAGAGCTATAAGAAATTATGTCTGAACATGGGTGTTCCAAACATGCACTCCAACCACCTTTGTGAATCAAGTCTTGGAAACCCATTCATGAGCCTAGTGGGGTCCCTGGAGCAGTAACATAAAATTCTCAGGCTGTGCTCTAGACTTTAAGGAGCCCTGGTGAAGCCATGGTTAAATGCTCAGCTGCTAGGATGAAAGGTTGATGGTTCAACCCACCCAACGGCTAGCAGTGGGAGAAAGATCTGTTAATCTGCTCCCATGAAGATTACTGCCTAGGAAACCATATTGGAAAGTTCTACTTGTCACATGGGGTTGAAATTGCCTCAAAGGCACCTAACAACCCTAGACTCTGGGGGTGAGCACAGCAATCTGTCCTTTATCAAGCCTTCCAGGTAATGCTGATGCCCAGCAGAGTTTACAGATCACTGCACTAGACCTTAAGCTCCATGAGGACAGGCTCCATGCCTTCTTGGAGTCACTGTGCTATCCCCACAATGCTTCTTGAGTGAATATGAATGACCTACTTCCAATCTCCCACCCCAAGCCCCACCCATCTGACCTGCAGAAGAAAAGGGACAGCAGACTGTTAGAGAAATACTGATTTTAATTAAACATAAGGTAAACTCTAGGCATCAGTCATCTTTCTGCCTAAAAATTAGCAAAACTGTTGAGACAAGGCACAGATTTTTCCCCATCCTTGTTGCGTGGCTTGTTACCAAAAACAAAAGTTTATGAAACTGTTAAACATAAAAATAAAAGTCTGAGATTTTTTTAAAAAGTGTATAAAAAAAACCCCACAATACGCTAATGTTGTTCCTTAGTCGACAAAATAGCACCAGTAAAAGTTATTAAAAAACCATTATGGTAGCATTTCTGAAATGCAGCTTGTCTGACCTCCCATTCCCCTTAAAAATGACTTATTGTGGCATAAAAAAGGATTTTAAAATCTCTGGAGGGAGGCACAAGCTTTTATTGCAGTTTTTTCCCCTGCCATCTCTTAGATGAGGGTAAAGCATGAAGAATGTGCTTCTTCTGCCCCTGGCTGTCACTGCTTCTGAGTTTAGAAAAGGGATGAGGAATTGGGGTATGATACTTCTAATCTGGGGACCTGTGCCTGAGTGAGTAAGACAAGTCTGAAGGGTGCTCGTTGTGGAGGGGGGTTACACCTAAGCTACCTAAGCTCCCTCCTTCATCTCACACGGGGAGAAGATCGAGAAGCAGTACTTGGCTATATAACATATGGCAGCTTATAATTCCGCTCACCCCTTCCTGAGCACCCCCAAAGGGTTCCATTGCAGTCACTGGGAGGGATTTACTACAGGTGGCCCTGCCCTTGGGTTTGGGGGGAAAATAGCCCTGAATGTGATGATGACATCATCCCTGCTGAAATCATCATCATTGTGGAAAATATTCTACATGGGCCCCGACAGCAGAGTCCGGCCTTTGTACTGAAGCAAGGGGCCTGTGCCAGGTAAAATTCAAGACATACACATCATTTCTTCTGCTAGCCCTAGAAGAAAAATAAACAACATCCTGGGCCCTTTAAACATCCCTTAGCTACATGTTCACAGCTGCACACCCCTGTAACATGGAGCAGCAGACAATAAACAGTAATTAAAGTCATGCAATAACTGCCTTGGATGATTTTTCTGTATTAACCTGAGTATTAGAGAGCTGTCGGCACTGTGATTTTGGTATCTTAGCCATTGTTTCTCTGAGTGGTAAACCCAGGGTAAAAAAAAAAAAAGCAATCTTACTACCTATTTCAAGTTTTAGAAGAAAAAAACGAGCACCAAATTTGGCTGCTCAGAGCAGCCAGGTCTGAGTTGTGTACAAGGAGGTGGCACCTTGGGCATGAGGCAACAGAAGCCCTTGAAAGAGCCTCCTTCTGTTGGAGAGGGAGGGCTCTGCTCCCACTGATAGTGGAGTAAACAGGTACGCGGTGTGACCCCGCAAAGCTGAACTGAGGCAGGGCAGAGCTGGGGAAGCCCATCTCCTGGGTCCTGGCCCTGCCCCACCCTCCTCAGTGCCCCCAGCGCGCCTGGCGTGGGACTATTCACAGGCAAAGTAGTCCTTCAGGGGGGCGAAGAGATGTCTGATGACAGGCACGCTCCAGGACCTCCCGAGCAGCTTCTGGCGGGCACCGCGGCCCATGTTGGACACATCCGTGTAGTGTACGGGGAAGCCGAAGATCCTGGGAAGGCACCAGGGTGAAAGACAGGGAGTCAGAAGTGCCATCTCTAGCCAACTCAGAGCCTCTGGACATGCTCAACATGGCCGACGAGGGATCGTCCTCTTGCCCATGCTTTCCACGTACCCTCCCCTCCCTTTAGTCAGGCCACTGGGCCTTCACATGGGCCCTTTCCTGACCGTCAGAAGAGGTCAGTTCCCTCGGTTCTTCAAAACCCTTGATCACAAGTGACTGTCACTGGAGCATGCCCCCATGAGGGCACCTTCTTTATTCCAACAGTACATCTCCCAGTGCTAGCACCACGCTCCTGGCACATACTTAGTGCTAAGTGGGTCTTTCTTGAATGAATGAATGCCAAGCCAGCTCACCAGAGAGGACAAGATGTGTATCAGTCCTCAAAACACAATCATGGTATGAGTTAAGCAAGTTCTTTAACAAGAAAGAAGGGCACTTTCAGATTGGACCAAGTTTTCAGTCATCAGACACTCAGGTGATTTACCCTGGGTACACTTGATTGTCCTGAGTTTCCCTTTCCCTCCTTAATGCAGTTTGCTGGATTAAGTGCCAAGCTGGGCTTGGGGCAACCAAATATACCACGAGCCTCCTCTGTGGGATTCTATCAGTACTTGGTAAGAGGCTACAAAGATGCTGAACCTAGGACTTACCTAGGTTTACAATCAAAAACTAATCACACCAAAAGGCCAGTGGCTGAATGGGTGAAAGAAACACACAAACATACACTATAGGCTCTTCTCTTGCTTTGCCTTGGCATTTACATAAGGATACAACCATTTGCACCAATCGTACTCACAGGTCTAGCCCAGCACGGTAGGCCTGGGTCTCAAAATACAGAATAACTCACAGCATGAATAGGCGGGGCAGGTTACTCACCAGCTTTGCTTTTTTTTTAAAAAAAAAAAAAATCAGAATTTTTTACACTAATTCTAAGTCAAAAAAATAAAACCAGTTGTAGAACTGAAATATCTGGAATATTCTGTATTAAAGCCTTTGGGGCACAGGCAAAAATGTAAAGAGGAAAATTCATAGCCTTAAACAACTTCATTTCTAACAAAATAAACAACAAAAAAAAAAAAGAGGAAAAGTGAAAGAACAAACATTGAATGCAAAATGGGAGAAAAGAATTGAAACCCAAGTGCTGATTCTCTGAGTCAAAATACATAAACCATCAGCTTAGCCAAATAAAGGAAAGACAGAGAAGAGAAACTGGGGCTAAGTAGAGACCAGCCACAAAATGAGAAACTTGGCAAAAGGAATCTTTCAAGCAATGGCATGTCTGTGGAACTTTCTTTCACGGGTTCCTCCTACCTCCAGGTGCCCCAGCACGCAGGGGCAGGCAGATGCCAGGGTGGTAAAGCCAACACAGACAGATGGTAATGTCTAATGACCTCATGTCTCAGATTCCCCCACCATCCCCTCTAACCACCATTTCTGGCAGGAAATAAGAACGAACTCCAAAGAGGTATCACCTCCAGACCCACTGCTATTATAGCTCAATGAGACCAGGAAGAATTAAGCAAAGCACCTGCCCACCTTCACTGCTGGCCTTAACCACATGCTGTTCCCCTTTCTGTCTCTGGCTCAGTGCAGCCTTGCTCACCTTTCTAGCTCAGTGCACCATAAAACATCTTCTTTGCCATTCATGACAACAGGGAAAAGTTGGTTTTTCCCCTGTCTGATCGAGTTCGACTTGGTGGTTATTGTCTGTACTTTCTTTAACTGGAGAACAAAACAACAACATGGAATGAGCACGGAAGGAAGGGTTGGTTCTGAGTTGAGTCAAGGCTCAGAAGGACCTTGGGAAGATGGAGGGAGGCAGGTGCAGGAGAGAGGGTGGCAGGGCTGAGACAGCAGAGGGAATGAGAAAATGAAGAGTTGGAAGGAAAAGAACATTTTGTGCTTCCCACAAACGCTAAGAAGTTAATGAACAGGAAGTACCAGCCTCAGAGAGAATGAGATAAACGAGAAAAGGGATCACGAATGAGATTACACAGGGGACAAAAGACAGAGTTACTGATCAAGCAAGATAAAGTAAACAGTAAAAACCACCCAGATATGTGAAGACTGGTCAATTGGAGTTTGGCCAAACAGAGCTTAGCCTGATGCAAAACACTGAAAATTAAGTTTATGGAGGTTTTAATATAATCTATGACTTGGTATTACCTTTTTTTTTTTTTTTTTTTTTTAAATTACTTCTACTAATTATACATTTCTTATAGGGCAGAGTGGCTGAATTATCTGTCTCTGTGTATCTGGCATTAAGAATTGAAAACTCTAATTGCCTTTTCTCACTGTGATTATTTGCTTATCAAGACTTCTCCTACTTCTCTCTGTACCTGAAGATTGGTCTTGAGGAGGGGCAGGATTATGTGAAGAGACAGGCCCAGCACCAGGGAGTCTTGTGGGCAGAGGGGTAGAAACAAACCAGACAAAGAGGTCATCTCCCAAGTCCCATTTGGAGGTCACCAAGTGTGCTTCCCAGAGGGCCATGGTACAGAGCATGTCTTACCTTTGCTGTCCTATTGAACTCCAAGCAGTCCTGCAGCTCGAGTTTATCATTCTTTGATGCTATCACAGGCCTGGGAACATTCAAAACCCATTACTTTCTACCATCTGTAAAGGGGCCTCAGCTAGGCAACCTCCCAAGGTTGAAGTGGCGACTTAGGCTTCAAAAATGTGCCCTGGCAGTGCGTTTGATGCTGCTGGAGGTGGCCAAAAATTATTAAATAATTCTGGCATGTGCACAAGCCAGTGGCTGATGGACTTGGGGCAGGGGGTGGTCCAAGGTCCAGGAGCTCATGCTTCCATCAAGGAAAGGCCAATGGGCGGAAGCACATTGAATGGGGCGTCCGGAAACCCCTCTGGTCCCAGCCCTGCCACTTACTGCTCACCTCTCTGGGTCTCATGTTTAAAGTAAGGATCTTAGATTAGGTCTTTGTGGATCTATTTGATATAATTAGTACATCGAAACCGTGATTTGGTGGTTATTACTGCATGAGATGCAGCCTAAAGAGGGTTAAAGGAATGAAACTCAGTACAAGTAGGAAGGACAAGAGGTGGTTCACAAAATGATTATGCTTTTAACCTTCGTCATTGAAACTTGTTTGGCAAATGCAGAAAGGCAAACAGATGGCTGGGAAGGGCAAAGGACAGAGGTGAAGAAACTGGAGTGGTTGAGCAGCTCCAGAGCAGAAAATCATCGAGACATCTGAAGGTACAGATTTGATGAACAACCATGGCAGCCTCTATGTAAGGAACTCCAAAGCCATCATAAAGAAAGCAGACATGGGAATGAAAATTGTGCCACAAAAGGGGTCGTGAAATCACACAAAACATTGCCCTAGACTCTGTACCTTAAGCAAACCTTCCACGATAGGTTACAAATGCCACCCTATCCCCAACCCTTACTTCTTCCATGGACCCAAAGAAGCTGAAGGACCTAAAGGTGGAAAAAAGGACCGACATGGGCACCTCCAAACACAAGCCCTGACTTTGTGACAATTCTCAGATTAAGATCTAACAAACCAAAATTGGTCATCTAAAGGCTGAATTTGGGCCTATGTCCCCTGTCTGATGATTGACACAGCATCATAGAAACTGGAGAGCCCAAGAACAGCTGCTCCCTTCTTCTCTCATAGCTAAGACAAAGACCTTCGTATCTTTGCTGATTCATCTTTTTATCTCACGACTCATGTCCAATGCATCAGCAAATCCTGTAAGTCCTACTCTCAAAATATTTTGAACTTGACCACTCTCATTAAGCCTGCAGGGCTCAGTCACCCACCACTCACATTGTGTTCTCTGTGGATGGCACCTCCAGGGGCACAACACAATCACACACAATCATTGCTTTTTTTGAACAAACTGACCTCTCCTCACCGGTTTCCCAGCTACTGTTCTTGTCCTGCTGCAATCTATCCTCCACCCAGACATACAACGAACCTAAGATACAACTTTTCGGCTTAAAACCTCCCAGAGACTGCCATGCTAAAGTAAATTTAATAGATAGTGTGACCCTCAGGTCTCACATAATTTGGCCCATTACTTCTGAGCTCTCTACCCTTCTGTCCTAGACACTCCTCACCCCAGAAACACCATTCTCTGGGCTGGTCTGCAAATGCCTTTATTTCTTCCTTTTGCCTGGAACACACTTCTCTCAAACAACTTCATTTGGCCCTCTGCTGAAATGAACTTTCTCCACTAAGTCTTGCAGTGGGCACCCCCAGAGCCTGATTATCGGTTACTATCTTTTCCCCTCTACCCCCATCAGCATGTCAACACCATGGGAGCCAAGACTGACGTCTTATTTGTTCTCCACCACACTACACCAGCAGCACATGTAACAGTGCCTGGCACACAGCAAGACTCAAATCTTGAGTGAATAAGCCCATTTATTTCCAGACAGGGTGGACACTGCACCATTTGACTGACTGGCCAAGTAAAAATGCAAGACATCCAACGAATCCTCCAAGCTATTTCCAGAACCTTTGCCATTTCTGTCCACACTTTGCTAAATGTCATTAAGTTATCAAGCTTCTTTCTAAAAAGAGGATTTAACTCATTGGCAAGTCTAGGATGTTGCATTACCATCACACCTTGCATCTTAATTAGCAGGTTATTCTTCCTGAAACCACATACAGGAGATAATTAATTCCCAGCAAAGCCACTTGCTTTGTAGCATTCAACATGTCTAAGGAAGTCTGAACTACCTTTGACATTTGACAAAAAATTGGGGGAAGCTCCTGTATAAGAAAACCAGAGGTCTAAAATTCCATAGGAGATAGGCTTCAGGCTATCATTTGTCACCTCGACTCTGCCACCTGGTTAGTCACCAACAGCCTGGTGCAGGGTTTACATCAGCACATCTAATGCTCCACTTCTATTTCCCACTGGGTATCCCTACAGCAACTGAGAGAATGTGCGAAGTATAGAAGAATCAACAAGCTCTCAACTTGTGAGAGAGGCCCTCCTGGCCTCCCTGGCACAGAGAAGATCCGCAGCCTGGCTTTTAAGAAGCAGGCCATCTTCTGAGCGTGAACAGTAGTACTACGGAACTCTGGACTGACTTTCCCAGGTGGGTGCTGACCATCCTAACAGGGATCAAACCATAACACCCTAAGATTCCCTGCAGCCGGGGTGTTTCTCAGCACAGTCAGCTCTTTAGAAGGGTTGGCCATGGTTCTGTAAAGCCAGCACAGATGGTGACACCATTAGCTACATTTAACTTGTCTATTACCTGTCCTGCTCAGATGCCCTTGTTACCTGTTCATTCCTGGCAGATTACCCCAGAAGTATCGGGCTCTGTGAGCAGCAGACACTTTGATGGCATCGATCATCACTGGGTTACACTGTAGGGAAAGGGATGAGAAGGGCCCCCATCAGAACACAAGTGGTGGCCAGAGTGAGGCCTGACTTGAGCATGTGACAGGCTGGTGCTGGCTGTGGAACAGGAATGGATCATGTCAAGTAAGGGACAAACCAATTCTCATCAAGGGGCAGGCTGAAGGACAGACAAAATGCCCATATTAGAGATGGAGTCCAGATCAGAACTACAGGTTCTTACAGAAGGTTATCCCCTAGGCCATGTCAGATTATTACAGAATGTGCCGTATCAAGGTGGTAAAAGCAGCTTGAAATGGAGATCTCGAAAGCTGAGATCCTGTTGCAGAATGGGCGATAGCTTATGGGTTGACAAGACAGAACTTAAGTTGTAAATGTTTTGGGTGAAACTAAAGCATGCAAAAACTATTTATCACAGTGCTTGACACAGGTAAAAGCTAATTAATTTCTCTAGGGCCCCTAAAAAAGTAACTTGAGTCAATTCTCATGAGCCCTCCCACAGGGAGATGGTTTCATCATCTCTAACCTCATTGGGTTAGAGGTGATGTTTGATAGCAAATATTTTCCATGTACTAAAGAGACCTCCCTTAACTCCATTTAGTCTTGGATAGCGCCACAATCCATCAAGAACCCCAAAATAGTTCCCAAGCATTGGCAACCCTTACCCAGCCCCTCATTCCCGCAGTGCCTTCCATGCCCTTTGACAATCAGGCCCCTAGGTCTTCTCACCTCCAAGAATCGCGAGATATCCCTCTTGTCACCGACCTTCATGGCTACGACATTCTCAAACATCCAGAAGAAGGGCCGGTCATCCCCTTCCTTGGGGCGTGTGTAATTCAGCAGGTGGTAGAACTCAAAGAAGAGTCGGCCTGTGCCCTCTAAGAAGATGACAGAGCAGGGTTCTAATCTCCAGCCCAATATTTCATATTCCCCTGAGACCCTTTCACCAGCAAACCAATGGGTTCCTAATGATCATCTGACTCTAGGGCCAATTTACTCCACGTACACCAAGTCCTCTGGAATGGCTAAACAAGGACAGTCATCAGTGGTTTGATAGCATTTCCCTGTAAGGGCCGCTGATTTGCGCTGGGGTACAGAAACAGTTATGAGCTGCGACGTGGGTCTCTCGGGAAGGCAGGCTGCTTCTGGCTCCTTCTAAGGCCAGTTCACCTACACAAGCATAGGGTCTCTTGGGGACTCCATAAAACAGGGATGCTCACCGTACAGGCCTTTCCGGGCAGGGTTCACATTTGAGAGATCATTGCATGGGCTTCCACCGATCACCAAGTCAAATGGTCCCCATTCCTCAATCTGAGAGAGAAAAATAGTCACCCTCGAGGAAGGGAGAGAGATGAGTTGAGAGGGCCAGAGAGCCTGGGTTCCCATGTAACCTCTCAAGAAAAACCACTCCTAGAATCTTCCTTGGTCAATGAAGTCTACCAACTCTACTTCTGTCTGCAGAAAACCTAATGGCCATCCCCCTAAGATCTAAGCCTTTGGGTCTTACTATTAATTTACTGTGACAACAGGTTCTCGTCTACCACAGCACTGGGCACAGGGATGTACGGGGCCTGGGGTATGGAGGAATGGTTAAAAGAAGTAGGGATGCTATAGAGTCCCACGGGGTGAAATGCCCTTACATTTCTTTTTGTGATGTTCCTGACATCATTCACGTATTTGATATTCCCCTCATGCTTAACGGTTCCAACAGCAATGGACTCTTCACACACTTCAGAGGCTACATACTTCTCCACTTTGATGCCTAACTCCTTGAGGACCAAGTATCCTGTGGGAGTTGGGGGAAAGGAATAGAAAAATCACTGGGGGTTACGTGGGTTGTCCAGATCAGCCTCCTCCCTAGACATTGACTCCAAAACCTGCTAGAGCAGAGGCTAGGCACAATTGAGTGCTGCCACCTTGCATCCTTGTATGGGTACCTGCATTTAGCCCAGAAACTAGACTGTCACACACACTAGGCTCTCAGGATTGCTGGGTTTCATAAAAAAAATATATGTGTATACCAGTTGGTACAGCCCACTGCAGGGTGTATTAAAACTGATAGGTGCACAGCCAATGCTTCAGCAAGTCCAGCATTGGTCATTCCAGTACAGACACATGGACAGGGAGGGATCTTCAGTGCCACATGTTTGGAACAGCAAAAAATTGGAAAAACAACCTCAAGACCAGAGAGGAATGGCCAAGGTCAGTCTTACTATGATTTATATGTGCAGCACAGATAGATCTTTAGGCACCACCAGAGTGGGGAAAACAAATTGTTAGTGGTGAGTGATCATTAGAAGCTATAAATATTTTAGACAAGCAGACACAAGTATGCCAGGCAAACGTGTGCTAAGTACAACTCATGCTATATGCAAAGCACCCTATTTCAACTGCTCCCTGCTCAGGTGACATGGGGGTGTTCAGGGTTGTTTTGAGGATTAAATGCGTTACATCAGGCAAAGCTATTAGGGGTACCATGCACGTTGGCTGTGTTCTATGTAGGGAATGGAAGGAACAAGAAGGGGAGTATTAGGAGTTGCCTAATTAATATTTTAGACTTGTGGAATGAATAGTTATTTCCAAGATACCTGCACATAATAATAAAACACAACAGCCAAAATTATGGTTCATTTAAATAAGGACCCAAAATGTGCCAGTTGGGTGTGAAGTTTACAGAAATGAAGGAGCTTGTGGTTTTGTCAGAACAAGTGATAATCACATAACTTCCAGGGGTGTTTCTTGGCATGGGTGGCAGACACCCAGACCAGGCCTTGCGATTCCAAGTCCCTGCCCTCAAACAACCCATTCAAGCATCAGAAGGTGGGCAGCAGAGCAACCCCAGGTGAGCGCCAAACTCACCTGTTGCAATTCCATCAAACAGAGACAGTACACGAATGGGCCGCCTTCGGGCTGCAGGAATCGCCGGGTATAACTTGGGGGCTTCCTGTCAGGTAAGGAAAGGGGCTCATGGAGGTCAGAGAGCAAGGGAATGACATAGCTCTGGGGGAGGGGCAGGACTGAGGGGAGGACTGACTCTCCTCAGAGGAAATCAAGTGTTGCTCTGTCATTGTCAGCTGTGTGACCTTGATCAGCTGTGATGCACCAGAAGCTTCAGTGGGAAAAGCCAAGACTGGGTTAAAACACGAAACATGCCCAGCCCTGCGCTTGGCATAGAATGATCATTCTATCCCTGGATGTGGAACACAGGTGAGAATGCAATATGGGTACACACTAAAGACATAAATCCTTGGTCCTTCTCACGGGTTACATAAGAATGACCTGTGGGCTCCCTCTAAGAGCTGTAAACTAGAGCCCAGGAAAATTCAGTCCCACTAAAAGTGGGGGGCAAGCAAAGGCTTCCGTCTCTTCCCTCTTTATCACTAACTCAGAAGACTTTACAGAACAAAGTCTACATCAGACTCTGGATGTTCCAAACAATGAAAATAAATTGAGGCCCAAAATAAACCTGGATAAGACTAACCTATATAAGGGAGTTGCCAATCAGCCAGGTCTCAAGCCTTTGAGGCTCTGAGATGTCGCATCTGTATAATGGATCTTATTTCCACTAACTCTTGACAAGGAAATGCCAGAACCCTAAAGCCCTGGGGTCTGTGGTCCAGGGCAAGGAGTGGCTTACATATTCAAGCCCAGTGTCGCTGGTGAAGAAGGCCTGCAGGCGCACGTTCCAGTCCTTCCGGCGCCACAGGACACCATGACAGCGCTGCGGCTGGCACATGTAGCAGCTCCAGGGCTCCTGCAGCTTGGCGTCTGCCGCCGTGCCTGTGCCCACCAGCACCTCCAGGCACTCTACACAGAAACACCTGTGACCAGTGGCAGGGGACAAGGGATGCCTTGTCATTAGACAGCTGTCCTTAGCCTCCCCCTTCCCAGAGAGATGGCCTAACACCTTTTCTGGTGCCACAGTTGCTCTTTATTGACCCTGAGTGTTTGGAGCTACATGAATCTTAATTCCCTGTACTTTGCTGAAATACCTCCAGTCCACAGGCTCTTTACACGTGTTTATCCCTACACGTGTTTATCCCATTTACCCAGAAAGGCTCTCCCACTGCCTAGTCAAATCCTAGGGAGCCTTCTGTGCCACCACTCTTCCTTGTCATTGACTCACAGACAAGCTTATCTTAGGCCAATCCTTATAATCCCCCTTCTGTGTCAAGGATGTGACAACCGCAGCCCCAGGCAAACCTGTGCCCTACCATCCAGGTCAGTTTGGCTCCCAGTCTCCTTGGCTGATATTCCATTAAACAAGACAAGCACTTAGACTGGTTGCATTCAGGCTTCAGGGCCCAGCAGTGTCTCACTCACCGGCTGCAACTTGCATTGCTGCAGAGCAGCAGCTCGCGGCCCTCACAGCACACAGTGCAGTAGGACTGATAGCCATCGTCGTCGTACATGTAGAACAGCTCAAGGAACCGATCCTGGCAGCCAGAGAGAAACACCTGTGAAATTGGAGACCAGGGACCAACAGGCCTGGCTCGCTCACTGTCTGGCTGAAGCCCTAGGACACAGCCACAGAACAAGTTACTGATGGCTTGGTGCCCTTCACAAGGAAAAGTAGTGCTCGTCTGCATGCCATCTCAGATGGACACCCCTGCTGGGTGCTATAAACCATCCTTGGCACCTGCCCTCAGAGAGGACGGGGGTGCATGAGCCCTGGAAGGGAATTCCTAATGTTGATAGGTATGTGCTATTGCTGAGGAAACTGAGGGAAGTCGTGGATGAGGGACGGGGCAGGAAAGTCTAGGGTGGGGATAGGAGGACTTACCCGGCATGTCTGACAGAGCCCACCCTCAAAGAGAGGGTGGAAAGAGACTGGGTTTTTCCTACCACAGGACAAACAGCTATCTGTAAAAAAGACAGGATAGAAGATGATAGCAATTGAGGCTCTAATACCAAATTGCTGAGGCCTTGGGTCTAGCAGTTCCTAAACACTCACTGAGCACCAACAATGGGCCATGGATGCTTCATGCCTCTCATAATGCTGCAAAGTAGGACTGTCCTCAAAGGTACCAAGTAGAAGGTGCTGCAAATCAGGCAAAGGGATGGGCCAGTAGGACCACTGAACAAGGGCTCCTGTAGCAGAGGCCAGTGAGAAGGCCTGGTATGAAAATCTCTAAGAACCTTTAAAGACTTGACTTTGTGGTGACCCCAATTACTATCTAATCACGACAGGACTAGTCGCTGACCACACCCTAGGAAAGAGAGCCTGAGGCTACAATTTCAGAGCTCTGGTCCTTCATCAGAAGGCTATCCTGTGTTGCTTTCATATTACCTGATCTTTGCCACTGACCAGGTGGCCAGGACCTTTATAATGCACAAGACCAAACTTGCCCAGGTAGGCAAGAGGACAGGTGGATGGATTAGTCTTGGGTGCAAGGGGGTTGGGTCAAAGTTTCCAGGATGGTCAGGGGCTGCTCTATGCTGAAGCTTTACCCAGGATTCTATGGGTCAGGCGCTGTGCTGTTTTTTACCCAACATTTGAATAATCACGTATTAAATATTTGTTGACTAAAGAACAACAGACTGCGGAAGCAGGGGAGTTGATCTTTCCTCACACATTCAGAATTCCATTAGATATGTTCTGGACAGTGTTTAAAATGCAGTGGCAATTCTCAGATTGGGCAAGCAGACCAGAGTTGGCATTAGAGAGAAGGATGGTGAAGGAGGTGTCTGCTATTTACCTCAAATCTAGTTCTAAGTCTTGTTTGGGAAGATGCCACTGATCTTGGTTTCAGGTGTTGGGTTCTCCTGGCCATAGTGCCCTAGCTTCTTTTCTGACCAAGTCCCCAACTTCCTGCTCATTTATCCTAGGGGCAGAATGATACTCAATCATCAGGAAACTCATTCTATGAAGTATAGCAAATAAGACATAGGGACAAGGCAAGGGACCACAAATACCCAGAATCCACTCACTCTTTGACCTTTGGTCCAGGCAGAGAGAGATCTGGGTTAAACACAGGCAGGACGTACAAGCCGGACTGGAGAGTACATTTACCTTCCAGACAGCTCTTGTTGTTGGTAACATCCAAAGCCATTTGCTCTGTTTAGAAAAGAGGGAGAAAGGGTAAGATGGGGTCAGGGAGCCTCTTAATGGTGAACTAAGCTATGTTAACCACCACAACCCCTTGCTGAGTGGTACCCATACCTGCCCAACTGACAAGGGGTGATTATGGGTCCATCTACCCCCAGCCTCCTAAGACCACCAATCACCTCGACTCTGGTCTTCCTCCCCACGGTCTTTGCCGTTGTTATAGCAATTTGTCTTGAGGCGCTTGGTTGGGGGGCAGTAGTCTGAGGTGGTGGAGTCATCAGCTGTGCGCCTTCGCATCTTGTTCTCTGTGAAGGGTAAGAAGATGGCAGCCGTCATTTGGTAGGAGCAAGGTCAAGGGAACGTGTGGGCCCAGGATGAGATCATGCCATGCCTGGGTGCCAGCTACAACTGGGGCACGACAGGGGTTCCCATCCTGGGTGTCAGGTGTCTCCACAGGATGGGCAACTTAGACCAAAAGGCAATTCAAAAGCCTTTACTCTCAGCTTCCATGTCCAACACATATTTATATGGTTCTAAATATAGCTATAAACTACCCTGGTGGCACAGGGAATGAGAGTCACAGCTGCTAACCAGAAGGTCGGCAGGTCAAATCCATCAGCCACTCCTAGGAAACCCTATGGGGGCAGTTCTACTGTCCTATAGCATGACTATGAGTTCAAGTAGACTTGATGGCAATGGGTTTTTTGTTTTTGTTTTTTAATATTGTAAAAGAATACGCCCTTGAAGATGCAGCTTTGTCCACCACTAAAACCCTGAAACATCTATACCTGTGCTGTCTAACAAAGGAGTCAATGATCATTTGTCGGCAATGAGCACTTGCAACATGGCTAGAGTAAGTGAGACATTAGTTTCTCATTTAATTTTAATTTAAATAAACTCAATTGATTTAATTCTTAGAAAACTTTAGTCGGTTTGGGGCAGTTTGGAGATCGATCTGCTGCTTCAACTATAAATTTTAAGAACACTGAATATAGATCAAGTATTTCCAATAGATATTTGGCATCTAAACTGAGGTGTGCTGCTGTAAGAGTTGAGATTTAGTACTAAAAAATAATATAAAATACCTTTTTTATACTACATATTGAAATACCAATAATTTGGATATATTGGGTTAAATAAAATGTATGAATATTAATTTCATCTGTTTCTTTTTCTAGTCTTTTTGATGCAATTGCTAGGAAATTTTTTAATTACATATATGGCTCCCATTTAGATTTCTATGGGATAGTGCCAGTTTATACAGTGAATCATACATGACATGGTGATATAAATTCTATTCTGCCCCTAGGAAAGAACATTAAGCAGCCATTAAAAATCTTAAAGACACAAATGACACTTGACAGTGTATACTATTAATATTGAGAAATTAAAGGGAAAGCAGGAATCCAACTAGTATATAGAAGAGGCTGGAAGGTTGTGCACCCAACAGCATTAACCTGGGGGTAGTTGTGAGGGTGGGGCGTGAGGTGGGAGAGGGTTGGGGGTTCAAGTTGACTTTAAGAGATTTGATTCTTTCCCAGTGAATATGCAAACATAAGTTGAAAAGAAGTGAAGAAAATGGTGCATAGACAAAATATGGGAAGGGAATACCGTATTTCCTTGTTTCTAAGTTTCCACTGCCTGCACGACGCACCTTCGGCTTATTAACCACTTTTTTTTTGAGAGGGAAAACGACAAAACAAAACAGAAATACTACATTAAATGTACAGATTGTTAGACACATACCAGACTTCCCAGAGTGACAACGTGAAATCACACATATTGGTAAATATGTTAACAATGGGGTATACCTCATTCTGGATGGAGGAGGCTTAGGGTTCTTTAATTAATACTTTCCAAGATTTCTACAATGAGCAAGACTTTACTATTTTTTCCTTTAAAAAATGTTAGTGAAGATTCTACCTTGACCTCCTGATAACTGAAGTTTTCAGGATAGATTCCATCACAAAATTGTATGCTTGACTATTGAGCAGGAAAGTGACCAGGGACCAGAAGAGGCTGGCATGGCCCTTTAAATGCCCTGGATGCTTTGCTTTTCCATAGTCCTGGGGTTCACAGAAACCCCTAGAGGCCTCATGGTTTACTCTGGTTGCTGGAAAACCTAGGGTAGGGATAGCTGCATTTGCCAGTGTTCCTCCCACAGGCAGTGGCACTGGGGACTCATTCCCACCTGGTTGCTTGCTGTTGGGTTTGAGGCCCTCAACCCCAGTGGGCTTGAAGCCCCCATGGGCCCACTCCAACATGGGCTTCAGTTGGTCCTCCAAGGAGTCTCCGGGGCTGCTGGGGAAGGTCTTGCCTGCTCGCACCCTGGCTTTCTGCAGAGATAAAGGAGGCACTGATGAACAGGAGGGGTGAGTGCTTGCCAGGCCACACCCAAGGACCCCATCTGGGGAGAGCATTCCCCTTCACACTGGGCCCTTTCATGCCAGACAGCTGCCCTGGGCTGTGGTATGTGACAGGGAGGAGGGGCCTGTGCATGGACACAGGCAGACAGCCAGGAGGGCAGGGAAGGAGCTAATCTTTCCATGCGGGCTCCAACTATGGTGTCTCCCTGAGTGAACTTGAGATGGTCAGCTCATTCCCAAGGGCAGAGGAATCACAATCATCTCCAAAACTAACTTTTAGGAGAAGCCTGGGTCAGCACTGTCTACCACCTCTTGCACCTTGTGACAGCACTGGATTTCTTGTTTTGTGTCCCCTGGAAAGATGAGGAGTTCTATATTAAAAGAAGCAAGAGGATTTACATCTAACTAAGCTCGTACAACACTTGGCAGAGGCTGGCTCATAAATACTAGACAAAAGCCATTGATCTTTTCAGCTCCAAGTCAAGGTGGAGGGAGAGGAAAGAGCCTAATGGTTCACAAGGGTTAATAACATGGGCCAAAGATAAAGGAAGGGGGCAGATGACCTCAGCTGCTCCCTAGTCTTGAGACAAAACCACATCACTCAAAGGAAGGAGGCTTTGTGGTCTCTGCAAAAGCATATCAACTGATATGAATATTGCAACTCACTTCACAGGGCTCCTCCGCCTTCGCTTAGCTGGCAGTACTAGCAGCCTAGCCATGCTGGGAAGCTGGGAAGTCATGGGGAAGTCTCAAATCCCTAGCTGGGCATGTCAGGCCACCATCATGTTTGCATGGACTGCCCTCCCTGGTCTGCCTGACCCTCTAAGCCCATCAGGCCACCATCATGTTTGCATGGACTGCCCTCCCTGGTCTGCCTGACCCTCTAAGCCCATTAGGCAACCATCATGTTTGCACTGACTATCTCCCTAGTCGGCCTGTCCCTTTAATTCCTTGACAACACTGTAGTCTGAGCTATCTTTCTGTGAGTCTCTTAAAGACTGCAATGGCTGCACCCTGCTCTTGGGACCAGGCCCTCATTCCCCACTCCCGTGTTACCTCCAGGGCATGGTACATGGCCTTCCTGTAAGAGACCAGCTTATTGAAGGTGGCCAGGTTAAAGTGTTGGCTGAACAGCCCCAGGGCCACCAGCTTGTCTGCAGAGACCTAGAAAAGAAAGAAGTCATCACCATCCACCAACAGCACGTGTCTCTAGTGCGTACAGCTCTCACACGGTCCCAATAGGAGGGGAAGATTTTCATACTCTTTAACGGAGGATACTGTTCAGATGTCAATTCAAAAATGGGGAAAAAATGGCAAAAAAGAAGTGGTATAGATGCCCTTGAAGGATCCTATAGCCAGAAAAATGGTAGATAAGATCCTCAAAAGAAATGTGGGAAAAGTATGATATTCTGAATAAACTGAATTGTGTATTTTAAGAGCAAATTATCCACATGGTCCCTGATGTGGGTCCCACACAGCTCAGTCCTATAACTCACTGTGGGTGCACAACATGGAGGTTTTGCCTATGTTCTTCTGTCTGCTTGCCCTCTTCCTTTCTGAGCAGAGCAAATACTAAGTGTAACTAATTTACTATTCTAATCTTTTATTAAAGAGTTAATTTAATGAATGCTTAGAGAACAGAGTTTGGCAGAGTAAGCACTTTGTATTTGTGATGTGTTAATGTCTGCCTTCCAGTAGGGGCTAAAACCCATGTTCTCGAGTATAGGATTCCCCTTCCCCCCAAATCCCCAGGCCATGCATGGGCTGATAGGTTTGCCAGTGGAAAGAGAGTTGGAGTTCAGGGATACTAATCAAAACTGAAAAAGATATGTGATGGTCCATTCTCCAGAGAGTTCTCACTCTCCTAATACGGTCCACTTTGTACCTGAGAGCCCATTTTGCACCTGAGAGCCAGACTTCCCACGAGGGTGTACTACCGCCATTTGACCTTTGAAGAAACAGGCTCAACATAGGTCTTGGAACCACAGGTGAAGCTCACTATAATGGTAGATTCCTGTACACTAAGACGTGGCGACTGTTCAAAGGCAAACTTTTCCAATGCAACACAGAAGTGTGCTTGGCAAGGTACAGTCCAGGTTTGGGGCCCTAGAGCCAAGTCCCACATTGTAATTCCATCCCACAATGCGAACAGACCCACACTGAATCCTATTAGCATCAGACTCTATCTTGTATTTTAAATGTCTTGCATTTTAATGACTCACTAGGCCAACCAATTACAACCATTAGGCCTCAACCCATCTTTCATTTCACAGAATTCATTGCCCACGTCCTGAAATTAGATGCTCGGGAACCGTACAGTCTCAGGACACTTGTGCTTCAGCTCCCTCTGCTGGTCACAGAGGGCATCTGCAGATGGTCTCATAGCTTCCAGTCCCCTAAGGAACTTCAACGTGCTTAAGGCAATTAGCCTGAGAGAGTCCAACTCATTAGAAAACTAGAACCTCACTTTGAGGCTGAATCCCAGAGATGTACTAGATGGTGCTTCATTCTCACTTCTGCCTACATGTTGACTCAGATTCCTCTGTCTCCAGCTTGCTTTGTAACTAACCTTAAGTATATCACCCAACTTCTCTGGGCCTGGTGGTGAAGGTTGGACTAATATCTCCAAAGAGGACCTTACAGGAAAAGTATTCTGTCTCTACTACTCCAATGAAAGTACTGGGAGATCTCAGAAATGTGCCTTCTACAGAATATTAAGAGCCAAAGCAAACTCCTTAACGCCCAAGAGTGATACCCTGACAATTTCTCATCATCAAGAAAGATTAACTTAAAATGGCTAATACCAATAATCAATAACCCAGTCCTGAAATAAACAACTCTGGCACCAGGTGACCTTACCTCCAGCTACAGGCCCACCAGGGAAACCCCACTCTCCAGGGCTAAGAGATGCTCAGAGGCAGTGTCTGCTCCTGCCTCTTCCAGCATGGGAACACCCACCCATATAGAGTGCAGGTCTTAAAGGGTCATGTAACAAATGCAAAAAAGAAAAGTAAAAAATCTGCAGGTCTACGGGCCCTTTTGAGAGCCTACCTTGCCCTGGACTCACCTCTGAGAATTTGCCATCGCCAAACCACTGGACCCAGCGCATGCCAGCCATGGCCTGGCGCTTGGAGGTGACCTTCCAGGACACCACCATGGCGGGCCACCAGGAGAAGCCCTTGATCTTTCCCCACACAAGGTCCCCTATTCCAAACTCCTTTCCATCCTGGAGGGAGAAAAACCAGGTGAAATAACTCTAATAATTAGACAGAAAACCAGGATCAATGGAAAATGCTGCCTACTCCACTGATATCAATGGCAACAGCCTCAAGATCCAACCCATAGATTCCTGTGAGTGCACTGACAGAACTCTTTGGGAAAACAACTATAAGATAAAGTGACTCCAAAAATACCCACCAACCTATCAATGTGTTATGAATTAAAAATTATGTGTGAGAATTGATTAAAAAAATAAGGGGCACTGAATGAAGCAGGATTGTTTGAGGCTGGGTGGTTTGTTATATTATTATAACTGTAACATTTAACCTAGCATCTGGGAATGAAAGATGACAACTGAATATTCACACCAAGACTGAAAGAAGATCACAGTAAAAAAATAACCTGGAAATTGCCAGCATAGGTGATTGGATAGTCTATTATAAAGCCATTAAAATGAAACAAAAATTTTTGGCCATGTGCACATAGCACTATCTTTAAAAGGTTACTGTAGACTGTGGAGATAAGTACCTACAGTACGATGTCCTACAAATTAATATATGTCGAAAAAAGGAATCCTACACCAGCTCAAATTTATGTATACAGAGGCTTAATGTAGCTCTGCTTAAGTGAAAAATACAAAAGCCCAACTGGTTATTTAATGATGGTACAAAAAAACTAAATGCATTACACAAGCATTAAACAATGGAGCAACTCTACTTCCTAATTTAAAAAAAAAGCCAGTCTGCATTCTCGTATGTACAATGATCCTGTTCATGCATAGAAACTTTGTACATGTATTTCTATGCATAAATGTAACATTCAGAACATCAGAAATCAGGTGATTTAACTATGGTGTTTGCGTTATGTCTGGGTGTGACCTCTTGGTAACTTGCTTTCCTTTTCCCTATATTCAGCATTTGGCCACCCTTGGTGGGAAGTCTTTCCTGTAGTACCTGATACTCAGTGCCATCTGCTTCTCTACCCTCTGCATCCAACTGTGATGACTCCAAGTTCTCAAGCTGGCTGTCCTGGATTAGGCTGTCATACGGGGTGCTGCTGCTCTGGGGCGTCACGTCATCATCTGTGAGGTCGATGGTGAGGTAGGGGCTGGCCGGGGATGGCCATGGTGACCCTGCTGATGATGTTGCCCTCCGCCTCAGGGACTGTAGACATAAGAACACATGTGGGGCCACAGCAAAACAGGTTGGTTACCAGAGACCAATGATACCACCAATTGCTTCCTGGACAAGCAGAAAGAGTAAAGAACTAAGTTAAACAGTATAGAGACCAGCAAGGATGGTTTTCCAGAAAGAAGTATCCTGTAAATGGCTACAGGAAGCCATCATAACAACTTCTGTCAGAGACCAGAGACAGAACTGAGATGAAGGCATAATGATAGGTAATGACAAAAGGATCCAAAAGCCAAGCTCGGAGAGTATCACTGCTTTAGGCATCTATTGTGTGCCCAGCCTTGGCACAGGAGTGGAAGTTGCTGTAATGCTGGGGTGACCTAATACGGTCAAAGAAGACACCAGCTCTGAATGTCAGTGGCTCAAGTAGGACAAGTACTCAATCAGCAGGGAATTCTGCACAATTCCATACAGGATCGGGTTAGGAGAGAAACCATCAGGCTTAAGAGAAGCGTATCCAACACACAGAAAGGCAAATCAAGATCCTGAAAATAAGATGAGCATGAGGAAAGCAAACAGGTGATACACCAGTGCAGTAGGCAAGTCAGATCTTCCCTGACTAGAGACGGGAGCAGGGGTCTAGGCATCTGGGGGACCAACCCTGGTAGCTGGGAACTCCACTGGGGACTCGTCCACGTGATTTCGGCCCTGCCGGCCTCGGGCGGAACGCAGGGAGGGCCTGTGCCTCTCCCGCCTGGAAGCACTGTTGCTATTTCGAGTTCGTACCTGGAAGCAAGAGAGTATAGTCATGCGTCATTTATGTCCACGATATGTTCTGTGAAAAAGGACGTTATATGATTTGGACGTTGTGCGAACACCTTTTTATATAGTTAGCAAATATATATGGAATACTGTAGTGTACCTGTATTGACTAAACAGCCAAGATACATACATACAGTACTGTATTTCATTCTTATGAAGGTTTTTTCAAGCATTCACTTCCAGAATAAGGAGGTTTCATCCATATTAAAAATTTGCTGGGGCGAATAATCTTCCTCTACAATTAGTTTATCTAAAGTTTCAACAAACTCTTCTGCTGCCTTCACATCAACACTTGCAGAGCAGACTCACCACACACGTCCACATTATGCTGCGGAAAGTGTTGTTTGAAGAGCTTGAACCACCCAGAGCTAGTAATAAACTTGATATCATCGTAGTCTGGTTCGGCTTTTTCTTTAAGCATCTTGAACAAGCTTTGTGCCTTAGCAGTTATCGTGTATGTGCCGAGAGGGATTTGCTTTTGTGTTTGATCCTCAATCCACGAACGTCATTAGTAATTTCTCCATATCAGATATGGGTATCTCTCACATTTTCATTAGCCTTGCAGCTTTCAGTGGAGCTGGTCCTTTAACAGCTTGGAAAATTTTTTGTTTTTGAGGATCACGGTGATTGTCAAGTGCAACATGCCTAAATCACACGCAATAACATGCACTGATTTTCTACCTTCATGTTGTTTAACAACCTTTTGTTTCACCTCCAAATTGATACTTATCCTTTGCCTCTTGCTGCTGTTATCACTCGTACTGGTTTTGCTGCATTTGAGAACCATGATGCACTTCACAGTAGTATTTTCAAAAGAAAATTAAACAGAAAGATAAAGCTACAACACTCAAGAGATACGTGATATGAGATTGGATGTTCCTGCCTACAAGTCAAAGCATACACTCTTAGACGATAACCTTTTTATTTGTATATAGTAAAAAAAGTTCACATTAAAATAACGATAGCAAGTATAGTACAGTACATATATAAGCCAGTAACATAGGTGTTTATTATGACTATCACAACATGTTTTATAGGTTATATATCTACTGTACCATTATATGACTGGCAACGCAATCACTTTGTATACAAGAGACATGAGATATGCATGTTGCGTGTGGGAAGCTGTTGCATTTCCTACATCTGGTTAGGTTCACTATGTTGCATTCTCAGATCAGGATTTCTGAACTCTATTATAACCATATTGGACCACGTATGTATATGTGGTTGGACGTTGCCTGAATGGACATTATACAGTACATGACTGTAAAAAGCATGGAGCCTCAGATAATTAGAGGCATAGGGCCAGTGGCAGGGGGCCAGGAAGATCTGGCCTTGAGATTTGCCAAAGATACATGGTGACCTCAGGTCGACAGGAAACGAATGAGATAGTTAAGTAGATGAGGACTCTGGCCTGATAACACCCCACCCAGAAATTCTCCCTTAGTGGGATAAAGTTGCTATGGTAGCCAGCACTGTGCCTGAAGATCCAACACAGATCCCAATCCCCTGTTTATAAGAGACCACACAGAGTCTGAGATTTGGCCAGCTGAAGCCGGCACCTGCAAATTAGATTGAAAAATTAAATCCATGTTTACTCTAAACCAAACAAGTTTCTCCAAAAACAGACATACATCTAATTATTGGATACTCGCAGAAAGTTCTGGACCATCAAGATGGCCAAAAAGCCGTCAGACTGTTGTTTCCCACCAAGGCACAAATTTAGGCGTTGAAGATGTGGGTTCAAATCCTGTGCTCAACAGTTATTGTATAACCTTGGTTATGTAACTGAAATATTCTCTCTCATATATTAAAGAGATTATAAACCACACCTGGAAAAATTAAGTGTCAGCTTGGTCTCTAATGGGCTGGCTGACCAAGAGCAATAACTGTCTTCCCACTTCCAGACCCCAAACTTTTTCTAAAGTCACAGAATCCACCATGGAAGAGATAAAAAACCAAACCAAACCTGTTGTTGGCAAGTTGATTCCGACTCGTAGCGATCCTATAGGACAGAGTAGAACTGCCCCATACAGTTTCCAGGGAGTACCTGGTGGATTAGAACCGCCAACCTTTTGGTTAGCAGCCGTAGCACTTAACCACTATGCCACCAGGGTTTCCATGAAAGTGACAGACTCCAGTAATTAACTGGCAGCTGACCATCCACCTTGCAAACTCTACCACCCCCAGGCGTTTCCAAGAAAATTCCAAGAATGAGTTTAAAATCTGCTATGTGGAAGAAAATTTTCCAGAAACTCAGTCCATGGGCCTAATGTCAAAACATTTGCTCACTTCTGTCTTCAAACCTCCCCCAAGGACATCCAAGACATAATAGTTATTTACTCAGGTCTCTGAGTGGTTGGAAGGGCCTTCCTTGTCTCAGTGTAGGGGGACTTACAGCTGGGCTTTCAGAACGAGTCCTGGTTTCACGGAAGAGTTTTGGCATCACTGGTATGTCAGCGCCATCTCCGTCTTCCACGTCATCTCCATCACCTGTCAGATCCTTTATAAATGAAACATTATGAACTTTTAAATGCAATTAGGAAATGACATCATAAAACAGATTAAAATGAAGAGTCAGTCATACTGAAAACAATCACAATTATCAAACCAAGAGATCTAAGTCTTTAGTTACATTACTCTGTTCCAAAAACCAACCATAACAGAACCCTACAGGATCATGTATTGAAGATGGGATTATAAAATAAAACCTCAGTGGAATCAGAAAACCAAAAAATGAAGGAAATGCAAAATATGCATCTCTATACCTTTATTAGACTTTGCTACGCCTGGGGAAAGAGACCTGGTCCATTTTCATTCTTCAGGGGTTGGGAGAAAATGCAGGCTAATTGCTCAAGGGAGATTCTTCTTGACAAGATGACCAGAAAACAATGCCAAGTGCCCTGCATCAGGTCATGAATAATCCAAGTGCTGGCCCCATTCCTCACAGCAACACCCAAAACAAACCAGGCACAAAAACTGGAGTGGTGAGTGGCCAGAAGGTCTAGCTGGTGGTGTTAAGAACTTTTTCCTCCACTTGCCAACTGTGTGACCTTAAATGAGTCCATTCACCTGTCTTTAAAATTGGGATGACAATTAAACAATTAAAAGGAATAACCTCCCTTATAGGGCAACAGGGTTGTAGTGAGAATCAATTAATGCGTACCAGGCACAGAGGATATCCCTCAAAACAGGAAGTTTTGTTGCTGTTCCTAGTAAAAGACCTACAACAGCCTTCCTGAGCCTGTGTCCCAGCACACTGTCTTAGTTGTCCACTGGCTCTTGTTCTTCATTGTCTTGAGTCCCCACCAATGGGAGAATTGCAGGGCTATGTTTTTGTTCATGATTTTGTCCCCCAATGCCTGAGATTGGTTCTTTGAAAAAGGTAACCACATTGATAAAACCTCTATTAAGATTAGAAAACAGGCATAAATAATGTAAGGAATAATGAATACATTTGGGAAACATTTACAAGAAACAGAAACCTTACCACATCTTTAACTATTAAAGAAACGCAGTGATTATTAAAAATTCCCTAAAACAAGCCCAAGGAGCACTGGTGGCACAATGGTTAAGTGCTCGGCTGCTAACCCAAAGGCTAGCTTTTTGAAGCTACCCACTGACTCCACAGGAGAAAGACTTGGTGATCTGCTTCTGTAACGATTACATCCAAGAAAACCTATGGGGCTGTTCTTCTCTGTCACAGGGAGTTACTATGAGTCTAAATACTGATTCAGGGGCACCTACCAACAACAAAACAAGCCAGACAAGTTTTCTCCAACTTGCAACAAAATCCTGAGGCTACATAACCCTTATGTCAAAACTAGACTGATACAGGAAATAAAATCATACATCCATTTCACTCATGAAAAGATGATACAGTCACAACTCAAAATTTGAAACACACCATTACCAAATTGGACTTATTCTAGAAATAAAAGAATGTACCTTCCACAGATTGAGAAAAAAAATTTTTTTTTTTGCAGGAAACATCTAGTAAAACAAAACTTTCATTATTTAGTAAAACAATTTTTCACAATAAAACTTTGCATATTAGAAATTTAAAATAAAAAAAAAGCCATCAAGTTGATTCCAACTGTTGGCAACTTTATTGGACAGAGTAGAACTATCCCATAAGGTTTCCAAGGAGCAGTTTGGTGGATTCAAACCGCTGACCTTTGGTTAGCAGCTGAGCTCTTAACCACTACGACAGCAGGGCTCGTTAGAAATAAAAGGGCATTTTTATAATGATAGTAAATGCCATCCTGAGTGAGGTTGTTAGAACCCCTCCTCAGCCTAGCAGAGTTCACATTTGCCAACAAATATTTATTAAGCAAGCCTCAGGTTCCATATTTGATAAAAGCTAAATGAAAATGCCCTGAGCCCTGAAAAAGGGAGAGGGGAAACTATACCTGAGTATAACTTAGCAGGCTGGAGACCTCTCTCTTGGATAGTCGTGAGCTTGATCTGCGGCCTGTGGAGGGAATGAGTCTGTTTTGAGGAAGGGGCAGGCTCCAGCCATGTACTCCCTTTCCTGACAACGGCTGTTCTCTATGGCCTCCTCTGGAGGCCTAGGCCTAGGATTTCCCTAAAGCGCTGGCATCCTCAGGGATTAACTTAGATCCTTGGCACTCCTAGTACCATGGCATGCATGCCTAGTCACCTCAGTTCCCTCTATTTATTCATGCATATGGTAGTGAGGCACAGGGCCAGGCACTTAATAAGACTGAATGCTGAGGGCGCTAAGGGAAGGCATCAAATTCGTTCCAGAACAGTGCTGCCCAACACAGCGGCCACTAACCCCATTTAAGTCAACAACTCATTGTCTGTCTTCCTAGCCAGATTTCAAGTGCTCAATGTGTCTAGTGGCTATTGTAGTATTAGTCTGGAAATAGAACACTTTCATCCTCACACAAAGAGCTGTTAAGACAGCACTGTTCTGGAAGAGTTCTCAACAACAGGATGGAACAATGCAGGGGTTTCCAAACCAAATGGGTCCAAATCTCAGTGGAGAGAACACCAGTTGGTGCTGAGAGGATGGGAAAGGAAAGAAGCCTCAGATCCTCCCCTCCTCATCACAACCCCAGTCCCAGCTCCTAGGGAGAGGGATCCCACTGCAGAAGGGCCATCAAAGCCCCAGCCTATGCTGAAAAGCCCTGCCGCACTGAAAAAATATCAGGGGGTCACCACAGCACCTCTACATGCAGCCTCTTGGTGTGACCCTCTTCACTGTCCCAGGTGAGGGGACAGGGGAACAGAGGATGAAAAGACAGGTTTGGCTCCATCAACATCACAGGGCTTCTCATTTCCCTTCTGGAGGCAGGGGGTGGGGGGGTGTGGCGGAGGCTGTGGGAGACCAGATCCTCTCCCCAAAAATTCCACAGCCTGCTGGGAGGCTTTCGTCCCAGCTGTGGTCTGTAGTGATGGCCCACCATGTCAGCACATGAGCCCACCCCTTACTCCCCACAGGCCCGGCCACCTCTGATCTCCGGGGTGCCGATAGCCTCCAGGATCGGGGGCGAAGGGGCGTCCTTGGAGTAGGAGGACTGGTCACTGCAAGCCCCGTTGGTGATGATGGAGTCTTCCCTCCTGCTGGCATCCTCCTCTCCGTTGAGCTGTCTTGTGTCTCCCTTCATTGTTTCCTGCATGAGAAGGCCAGGCTGAGTAGGGCAGAATGGAAACAGTGACATTAGGGGGCAACATACACCCCAACCTCCCAACATTGGCTCTATGTCCTTAGGCTGAGACAGGCCCCATGATGGATTCTCAGTGATACTCCTGCCCGAGGACCCCACCCAGGCTGCCCCCAAAAGCCTGCCCCCTCACCAAACTCGGAGGCTCAGGACTTGGTTCCATGTGGCCAGGAAGCCCCAAAGACTCAGAAGCCAGCACCCAGGGCAGAGGAGGGGGCTGGGAATAGGGTCTGAGGCTTAGGCTGTGCTATGCAATTAGCAGGCCCCTTCAAACAATGCCATTTAGGACCCGCCTGCCCCGGGCTGCCTGCCTGCCTGCCGCCAGCCCCTGTTCCTTATGCCCCGGCTCCCTCTCCCTGCCCAGCCTCTGCAGGGCCTCAGGAAGCCAGTGCATTATTTTCCCTCCTGACCCCTTTGTTTGCTCTCTCCCTTCCCTCAATCTCCAGGTCCTCTTCCCACCCGCCCCCTCCTCCCCCACAGAACCATTTCTCTCCTCTCCATGGCAGCACAAGCCCCGCCCCAGCCCATCCTCGGGGACCCATTGGTCTGCTGGCCTATCACTCACTCCCCTCCTCCCTCACCAGCTGAGGCTTAGAGTCCCAAGTTCCCAAGAAGGGAAGGGGTAGGGGGGGCACAGCAAAGGGTTGGGGGCAATTAACAGGAGGGGATGCCCCTGATCTGGTCCACCTAACTTCCTTTCTGGGACTTGGTCTGACACTGCTGCCCCTCCTGGTAACTGCATCATATCTGAGACAGCAGCCCAGGTCTTTGCTGTGCAGCTGATAGGCTGTATGACTTTGGGTCTGGCCATCTGCCTGGTACATGATAGACAATTACATAATTTGCTGTATGTAAGAACCTCAAATATGCATCCTTCTCTCATTTAATCCTAACGTGATTGTGTGCCCATTTTATAGAAAAGGAAAACTGATGTGCAGATAGGCTTAAAGTCTCTAAGATCTCACATTGATATCCAAGAGGTAGAGCCTGGATTAGGCATGTTATGTGCCATGGAGTAGATTCCAACTCAGAGCGACCCCATGTGACAGAATATAACTGTCCCATAGGGTTTTCTAGGCTGTAATCTCTAAGTGAGCAGGTTGCTAGGTCCTTCTCCCGTGAGGGATCCATGGTGGCGGTGGCTTACAGCATGGCTGCTAACCAAAAGGTCTGCAGTTTGAATCCACCAGCTACTCCTTGGCAACCCTATGAGGCATGTCTACTCTCTCCTATAGGGCTGCTGTGAGTTGGAATTGCCTCAAGGGCAACAGGTTTGGTTTTTGGTTTTCTCCAAAGAGTCGCTAAGCAGGTTCCAATCCCCAACCTTTCGATTAGCAGCCGAGAGCTTAGCCTACGCGCCGCAGTGGCTCTACACTATATTAGTAAATAGCCACGGGGTATAGAATGCCAGCTCAAACCAGAATTCTAAAAATTACTAGGGTTACATTTGAACCACCCTCAGTTTTCAAAGATAGAGCCTAGGTACAGGGTAAGTGTCCCACACTCCCACCCCTCGGTTACCCTCAAACAGCACCAGGTCATCAGCCCCAGTCTCCAGTCCTGGAACCCTGCCTGGAAAACTTTCCCAGCAACTGGCCGCCAATCCACTTCCGGCCCTTCCTGCCTCTGCGACCGTTAGCATACCTCGGAGACTCACCAGGCCATGCCCGGACAGTCCGTGCTAAACTCCCAGGGTAGCTTCTCCAAGCAGTATGTGGGGCAGCAAGCTGCAGTGGCGTGGCTCCCACCAGGGGGCGCTGTGGAACTCATTAAGATGGGGCCTGTGGCGCCCCTAAGTGCAGTTGCAATTCGTCACGTGAGCCCTAATTCCATCCTATGCGCCTGCCCATCCCCCCCCAGGCACGAGGAGGGGGCAACCCAAACCCATTGAAATCGACCTTGTAGAACAAAGTTGAACTGTCCCTTAAGAGTTTCCAAGGCCGTAAATCCTCTCCTAGAACTAGTGGTTTCGAACTGCCAACCTTTATATCAGCTAGCAGTTGAGTTCTTAGCCACTGCGTCACCAAAACAAAACCAAACCTGTTGCCATAGAGTTGATTCTGACTCATAGCGACCTTATTGGACAGAGTAGAACTGCCGTATAGGGTTTCCAAGGAGTGGCTGGTAGATTCAAACTGCCAACCTTTTACTTAGTAGCTCTTAACCACTGCGTCCACCAGGGTTCCTTAAATCTATTCTGACACATGGCTACCCATGTATGTCAGAGTGTATCTGTGCCCCACAGGGTTTTCAATAACTGATTTTTTTATTCCACGTTGTTCCGACTCACAGAGACCCTATGTACAACAGAAAAGAAACACTGCCAGTCATGCACCATCATCCTCACAATCGTTATGCTTGAGGCGACTGTTGCAGTCACTGTGTCAAAATCCATCTCGTTGAGGTTCTTCCTCTTTTTCACTGACCCTCTACTTTACCAAGTATGATGTCCCTCTTCAGAGCCTGATACCTCCTGAGAACGTATCCAAAGTATGTGAGACGTAGTCTTGCCACGCTTGCTTCTAAGAAGCATTCTGGCTGTGTTTCTTACAAGACAGATTTGTTCATTCTTTTGGCAGTCCATGGTATATTCAATATTCTTTTTTTCATAAGAACTGGTAAATCACCAGGCAAGGAGCCTAGTGGCGCAACGGTGAAGAGCTTGGCTGCCAAACGGAAAAGTTGGCAGTTTGAAACCTGCCAGCCACTCAGTGGGAGAAAAGACCTGGTGATCTGCTCCTGTAAAGATTTTAACCTAGGAAACCCTAAGGGGCAGTTCCACTCTGTCCTATAGGGTTGCTGTGTGTGAGAATCGATGGCACACAGGATCGATAGACCTTTCTTACAAGGTGACTCTGGGTAGACTCAAACTGCCAACCTTTTGATTAGCAGCCAAGCTCATTTACCATTTGTACCACCCAACTGGTAGCACAACTATGCCTCTGTTGGTCCCCCTGTTGCCCGGGGACCAGCATTCTTGGATCAGAGGCATCAGTCTCACCCGGAAGCCAGTTAGAACTGCACAAACTCAGGCACCATCAAAGACTTGCTGAATAAGGACCTACATTTCTGCAAGATCTCTAAGTGATTAATATCCACATTAAGGAAGCACTACTAGGTTTACAAGTGCATTCCAAGTTCTAGTTATCAAGTTATACACTGATACAGCATAGCATGGGATTATCCACCCCACATGGTCCAAAATGTATAGTTCACAGTACTTCCTGAACTCTGGTGAAGGAACTTCACTAGCACCAGGGATAATAGAGGCCCCCCAACCCAATCTCAGAGGATGGAGGATATGCCTGACCCAGCACAACTACCTGATTCTCAGGCCTGTTTTCCATAAGCCCTGACCCGGAAGAACAGACCACGTGACCTACTGCTAGTTCCTGTGAGGCCCAGAGGGCAGAAAACTGCTGGAGTGTGGTTCAGAGTAATTATTAATTCTAAGCATTTCACCTCAAGCCAAACCAGCGTATTAAGTAACCTGCACAGCCTGGCCACGAGCTGGTAGCAAGTAGCTGGGTAATAAGACAGAGGGTGAAATCAGCAGACAAGCCTTCCCTCTCATCTGGGGTCCAGGGTTCCAAATTGTGGCGACTGGTTGGACAGCAGGTAGCCTCAAATTGGGTCAACAAAAAGTTAGACGGGAGTCTCCCCGCCTAGACAGACCCAGATGGGCCCTGCAGCCCAGATCTGCCAATGATTAACCAACTTGGGCCTTCCTCAGGACCTCAGCAGTGCCTCCCTGCCCAGCTGCCTGCCCACTGTGTGTGCAGCAGGACCTCCCCAAAACCACATCTTAACATTCTGGAAAAACCTCCTGCCCCCGAGCCAGACTTAGAGGCAGTGGAGGAAGGTTAAGGAAAAGCTGTCAAGCGTTTGAGTGCCACAATACTCCACCTTCCTGGTGTATAATTCAAACGCGTGTTTATAAAATGGAAAGTTCCTTCTATCGTTTCCATCCCTTGTGGCACCGTGGGTTTGCAATGAAATTGAGTTCCCTTGCTTCTTTGCTGCTACGACTCCTCATGTGTAGACAGCACACACCAGCTTCCAGAACCTGCATCCTGACTGAAAGAAGCCCATCTCAGATCCTCCCCCCATCCACTCTACACAAACCAAATAAATTTAGCCCCAGGAGTAGGCTGCTGCAGTTCCCTCTGCCTTAAAAACCCTAGCTCAAAAGCCAGGAGCGTTTCTCTCCTAGGCTTCTTTTCCAAAAACGCATTCTCTGGCCCTCTTCCGCCACCCACCCTCCCTCACGTAGGTATTTAAATCCTCTCATCTCCTAATAAGCTAGCTTTTTGCAGAGCTTACTAATATGTGCTAGGAACTATTCTGCGCTTTACTTGTATTAACTCACCAAATCCTTAAATATGGTAAGTACTATTATCCCTGTTTTGCAGATGAGGAAACTGAGGCAAGAGATTATTCAATATAATATACACTTGATTAATGTTATGTCAACATACTCAAATCAAGTTCAAAAACCCACCGCCACAGACAAACCAGAGTGGTAGGGCTGAACCCGTTGCCATCAAGTTGATTCCGACTCACAGCGACCCTATAGGACAGTGTCCAACTGCCCGATATGGTTTCCCAGGTTGTAAATCTTTAGAGAAGCAGACTGCCTCATCTTCTTCCATGGAGCAGCTGGTGGGTTCAATCCACCCACCTTTGTTAGCAGCAAGCACTTTAATCACTGCACCACCTGGGCTCCTAAATCCAGTCCAGTGAAGTTAAATAAGAACACACAAATTCATCTACATGCTCCTGGTAAGAGGGAGAAATTAGCACCAGTGACTGGTGTGAGGGCAGATACAAATCTCCAGGCCATCTCTTCCACACACCACAATCCGGTGTAGTGATTCAAGATTGGTATTTCCCAGATAATGTGGCCCCCAACACAAGCCAGCTGCTTTATCTGGTGAGATCATTCTAGT